AATTTGCGATAATTAAAGTATGGAAATTTTCCGATGTCCTGGCTTGGCGCTGCATGTTGAATTCTCCATGCTGATTGCCTGCAAAATCGGACTCTACTAAATTTGCGTTAGATGCAAGTTGGTATATTGATTTTTGTTTTGTTTGCCCTAATTTTTGTCTAAATTTTTGTTTTGTCCGTCATAAGTTTCCCCATTCATGATTTTTTCATTAATTGTCGTAACTTGATCAAGGCTTAAAAGCATATCAATCGTACAATTCAAAATAAAATATTTTCATTTCAAACAAGCCCCATGAATAGACAAGTGCAGGAGAAAATTTTCTATACCGAAAAGCTATTTTATTCCTTTAATAGCGTAAAATATTAATCATAATGTGTCAACCGAAAAACATTGAGGCTAATTACTTTTTTTTGTACTTCTACTTCTAATTTCTGTAAACAGGTTCCCAATATCCACCGAGAGTCTCAAAGAGATTCTCAAAGAGATTCAAAGTCAGCCATAACGGAACATTCAGGGTTATGTTCTGATAAAAACCGTTTTTCTAACATTTCCAAAAAAAGGAAAAGTTATGATCTAGCTGTTTATTCTAGTTGTCGAAATGTATGGATGTTTTTTTTGTATCACATGTTTTTTTTTGGTTCTACACAAAAAATAGACTGTCTAGCAGTAGCCGCTTCCACGGATTTTGAAAAACTTTTCAATTTTCTTTTGAATTTAAAATAATTAGTGTTTTTTTTTTACATTTTAGGGCGTTTTTTTGCTTATAGTGGTTTTTTGCTTATTACCAACGTACAGCATAATTATTACGTTTCATTCAAAACATTTGAAGACAGATATTTTTGCGGGAAGTGACAATTGGCTTCACCATGACAGTGAGTTAGTGCTCTTGAGATGCTTTTTTGTTGTGACATTCAAAAAAATTATTAAAATTTGCTCTCGGTGTTGTATAAATTTCAAAATAAATTTTTTTTGAAGCCATCTTAAAATTATTCATGTGTATGCTCTATAAAAAACACCTGTGACCAGTACAACTGTTTTAAAAATAATTAACACACAAAGTAGTAGTTAGCGCTAATATTGGGTTATCGGAAAAACATATACGCTATTATATTTTTTGTATTTCTACTTAGCGTGTTTAAGGATGAATTGAAAAAAAAATAAAACTTCCAAGAGATTCAAAATCAGACGTAAGCGAATATTCAGGGTTGTGTCGTGATAAAAACAGTTTTCTTATATATGCCAAAGAAGGAAAAATTATGCTCTAGCTGTTTTTTGGCTGTCGAAAAGTATAGTGCTTTTTGTATCACATTTTTGATTGTTAGACAAAGATTAGACTGTCTAGTCGTAGCCGCTTCCACGAATTTTGAAAAACTTTTTAATATTTTTCAAATTTAAATTATTTAGTGTTTTTTTCATAATTTTTACGGTTGACACTTTAATTGGCACGGTTTCGTGACACTTCTATTATTTGGACTAGTTTCATAAATGTTCTCGGGTGTTTTGTTTAAAATCATTTTTTAAATGCGATGAAAAAATTGAACAAAGGACACAACGGACAGCGCTCCAATAACTACCCCCTTTTACAAAAAAAAACAAGTCAAAGTTATTGGAACCACAGCGAATAGTTTCCTGAAAGTATCCTTCAGAAAAAGAAGCATTTCATCAGACTCACAGAAGATTGCGCTTTAAAAATTACGCGACAGATCATTAAGAAAAATGAAACCAATCACGAACAATTACTTTGCAAGATTTTGCGCTCATAGGAACGGAAAATGGAGAAAAAAATTGATTGAAAATGTGTGTTCCTTTGCGCTGTAGTTTCGTATTTCACTTCCACTAATTTTAGTAACGAGATTTAAGCAAAAAATGAAAACGCAGCTGTTTAGTGCAAAAATTTAAAAAAAAAACAGAACATCTATGCTTGGCAGCAACTTGCTTGTTCGTTAAGTACCTTCTGCTCATAAAAAATTCTCAGCAATTGGTAATTTGTTAAAGTTTTTAAAATGTCAAAAAAAACTAGAACTAAAGATCTGTGTTTGTTGCTTAGGGCAATTCTGAAACCATAGTACAAAATCTGATTACTTTTTGAAATCAAAATGCAAACTTTTCTAACACTGACATTTTTTGAATTAAAATTTTTTTTCTCTGTAACGCAGCTACTCTCCTATTCAATTTTTCAGCCACTTTTTTATGGCTTCCGAACTTATCATTGATATGCGTTTTCCCCGATAGTTTTTTTAAGAAACTTTTTAAGTTTATAGACATAAATTTTTTTGTGCAGTAGTTTTTTACCTACACCCGTACTTTACAATGGGTTTCACATGAACGTTATATGCCCTTTTTGGTTGATTTTAACCTATACATTTTTTCATTCTATAAAACATATCGCTAAATCTGGACATTACAGTTTTTTGTTTTGTTACATGATCTAAGATAGAAATAAAGAAAAAATTTTCTCAGTTAATGGAATGATATCAATTCTAAAGCTACTTATATCAATTTTACGTTTGATTTTCCGTTAATTTTTTTAAATACTGTCATTGTTTTTGTTTTTTCTGCATTTTAGTCAAGCTTGCTTTTTCAAGGTTTTTCCATGTCTACCAGATAATTATCTGTTTATGGCTGTATTGTTTATGAAATTGTTGTCTGCTCATGAAATCAGATTAGTTTCATCTTTTCAATCCTGTTCAATATCAAGACTCCTGCATTTTTTCATTTTTGTTAAACTGTTTTGAGACTTTTTGGTTTTAGTGGCAAATCAGAAGACAAAAACAGGTAAGAAAAGTGTAGAATCAACTATATCAAATAAAATTTCTACGACAATGAATTTGCATTGTGTCAGCTCGGGCTGGGAATTATTTTTCTCATGCGTTTTTTCGATTATGGTTCTTAAGGCCTAAATTTTAATTGAGGAAATTTTTAAAAGTTTGAAATCTTGTGAGTTTTCTTTTCAGTGACAAATGACCCGATCAAAAACATCTTAAGACTGGTAGTAAAGAAAAAAGTAATTGGCTGGGTTCACTCTACCGTCGTTTTTTGGAGAGAGGTTTAATTTTAGAAATTAGATAACTGTCTACAACCGTCAACCGTCTTGTGAATTTTATGTTTCCATTATGTCTGAAAACGATTTTGAGTAAACGTAAGATTGTTGGAACATTTTTGTCTTTGCTTTGTTCGTCAGGTACAATCTTTCCAATATTTTAAGAAAACGATTTGTTTTTGAATTTTTGCAAGATGTCATCGTGGCGTTTGATTCATTGCAAGTTTGTCATACTCTATTAACAATATTTTTCAGACCATCTTTGTACCAATGCAGTGAATCATGATTACAACATTCAGAAGTTAATGACAAAAAAATCCGCGTACTGGCTTTCTTTTACGGGCGTTTGTTCAAAATGTCTAAGGAATTTGATACAATTTTTTATAAGTTATTTCAGAAAACAAACCACAAATGCTTGTTTTTGAACGTTTTCTGGATGTTTGTTATTTCTCTTTAGTTTTTGATTTATCCTGGAAAATGAAAAAGTTTTCGTTGTTAAAGAGTTGATAAACGTAGTTCAAACTGTCAGTTAGATCGTGATGCATTTATTTTTTTTTACTCTCAGGAAAAGTTTTAAAATACTCTAATAAAAAAGAAAAAGCATTCATATTTATAAGGGCACATAAGAATATCCATAGATATATGCACGTTTTGAGTTCAATTCAAAACCCTTTGTTGGTTTTACTAGACAGTTGTGAAAATGCACTCCCAATTCTGAAAGCTGAAATGGCCCAAAAACGTGATCGATTTCTACTTTCGAAAGTAGTGAAATTTAATTTTTTTAAAAATAGAAACTAAAAGTTTTCCTAGTTATCAAATTTTCTCAAATTGGGTTAATCTTATCAAAAAAGTGCCAGAGAAAATGATCCTGAAATTCAAAGAGATCGCTTTTTCTTTTTCTTTTTCTTTTAAATTCGAAAGTTTACATTTTTCAAAGAACAAGTCAGTTTTTTTGTTTTTTTTTCTTGCGCTCATTGAATCTTCTCGAACAGTCTGCTGTCTATGTTCAGTGTTGTACAATCTAATTGCAAAATGAAAATTTAAAAAAGCTATTTTGCTATTTCTTCTCCCAACCCCCCCCCCCCCCCCCTCCCACCTGCTAAATTTTACTAGATAAATTTTGTTCACATCCTCCGAATGTTACAAAATTTGGCGTGCGAACTGATTAGGCCATGACAAACATATTTAGTCTTCATATTTGACCTTTTAAAAAACCCCTCGTTACACCATAAAAATGATAATAATGTGAGGTGGTGGGGGGGGGGGTGGAGGAAAAAGAGCCGAATTTTGTTTATTCACTCTTAAAAGTGAAATTGAGCTAAAGGGTTTATTTTTCCTTTATATAAAATATTTAATTACTGTATAATGTCCGCCACCTGCAGATTTTATGATAATATGATCGATTAGATTTAATTTGTAAAAACCTGTCTTTACTTAAAAACTAAACTGCTGCTTTAAATCTAAGACTTTTATCATACCGCAACCAGCCAAAGCACCAATAATAAGGAGAATCTGAGATTTAACATAATAGTTCAGGTTTTTTTTCTTCACAAGAAATAAAGTCACTGACCATGTTAAAATGTAGGACTATAGTCTATAGAAGGAGTCAACGTTAAGCTGTTCAATCTCATTGGCAATCTGCTCCTCGGCTTGGATTTTTATTTTTTGAAGTTGACTTTTGAATGCCGTAGATGACATGATTTAAGAAACGCTATTTTTGGTAGCTCAAATATAAAGAATAATTTGACTAATTGACGTTAAACCATAATTTCAATACAAAAGTTTATACTTTGAAGCGCCAACAAAGTTGAAAAACTGCCCCATCCTCGATAAATGCTTGGTCTGTCCGTGAGTAGAAAGCGACCTAATCAAAAGCCTTCGAATAAAAAACTATAAATGGCGTGTGCAATTTTTTTTAAACCTTTTGCTCTTTCTTACGGTAATCAAACTCGCATTTTAGGCCCTACAATGTCCCCCAGAGCTGGGGCAAAACTTACGGAGAGCATAAACTGTACCTAGAGCTCTCAGAGGATGCGTACTTAGAGCTACAAGCCTATGCGAAGGAGCTCGGAATCTACTTCTCAGCCTCTGCCTTTGACTTCAATGCCGTGAATTTCCTGGAAAAGATCAACGTGCCCTTTTTCAAAGTGCCAAGTTCCGACACTGGAAGTCTGGAGTTCATTGAGTTCATGGCCAAGAAAAGAGTGCCTATGGTTATAAGCACTGGTAGGTTATCTTGTGGTGTGTTGATTATCTTTTGGGTTCTCATCTGTGAATTATGCTGTGATCTTCTATTTATTTTATCATAAATTTTGATGACAATTTTTAAGAAAATGAACGATTTGAGAAGTTTTAAAACGAACCATTTAGTCTACGGACGTTCTCTCAGGCTAGAAACTAGTTTTTAATCTGCACAAAATTTAGTTTTTTTTCTGATTACAAACCTGAAAACATCTTATTACGATTATAGTTTTATGATTACTTCTATGATTATAATGATTCTATTGTTTGATTATTAGTTCCCTGTTCTTTATAGGCATGCAAGACATGATAACAGTGAAGAGAGTGTACCATCTGGTGAAAAAGTACCACGACAACTTCACTTTCCTCCAGTGCACTTCAGCATACCCGGTGGGACCGGAGAACACCAACCTCCGTGTCATCCAGACATTCCAGGTCACAAAATCACAACAGTTGACTGTAGACATATTCTGCAGACCCGTAGACTGCAGACATTTTGACTTATTTTATTGTTTCAACCACTGAAAGTGAGAATAGAATTGGCCCGTTTTTTTGATACACAGTCAGATGCAAGGCAAATCATCGACAGAAGATCTCAAGTCAAATAGCAACAAAAGACCTATCAGTAGTGATTCGAAGCTTAAAACAGTCATAACTTTTCTTAAAACAGTCATAACTACCACAAATTGCCTTGCACAAGCTTTACAGTACTCGCTTTTTCCATAAGTTTTACCTTCATAATTTTTATACAAGTTTTGTAGTCATAACTAGCATAACTGGCCCATAAGAACAATATCCCACGTGAATAGACCAAGGGAACCCTAAAATTAAATGGCAAATTCAAAGTAGTAAGGCCTGCACGTTGTATGCTCCAATCTGATTGGCTGAAAAACATGACTTTTAACCCAGTGAGCTAATTTCCTAATTTGTTTTAGGGGGAAGATTGTTCACCTGTTCCATAACTTTTTCCACAAATCTTGCAGTCATAATTTTTCAAACAATTTTTCCACAAGATTAGCCGTCATAATTTTTTCCAAAGTTTTACAGTCAGTGGTTCAAATCTTGCACTGACCGAAGTTTTTGTCTAACATTAGTGAATTGTTTTATTTAAACTGAAACAAGTTCAATTAAAGCTCAGTCCTTTGGATCAGAGGTAAAATATCTTGGGTGGAAAAGCTTTGCTAAAAATGGGGTACAACAGAACCGACGCCAACTAAACGTGGGTAGTCGAAGCGGGAAATTTCTTAGCTATGATTTTTTGTTCAGGATACTTTCAAGGACGTTCCAATCGGATACTCGGGTCACGAGAGTGGTATCTCAGTCTCACTCGCCGCCGTAGCTTTGGGCGCCAAAGTTCTGGAAAGACACGTGACTCTGGATAAGTCATGGAAAGGTACCGACCATAAGGCATCTCTGGACATGAGCGAACTGACTGAGTTGGTGAAACAAGTTCGCATAGTCGAAGCTTCTCTGGGATGTCCGGAAAAGAAAATGCTGGACGTTGAGGCCCCTATGAAACGGAAATTAGGCAAAAGTGCAGTGGCAATTGGTGATTTGAAACAAGGAACGGTACTCAGTAAGGATAACATGTCAATCAAGAATGCGGAGCCGGTTGGCTTTTTGCCGCACGAGTTCTCGAAGCTGAAGGGGGCTATTTTAACTAAAGATGTTGGGGATGACGAGACTATTTTGCCAAATGCAGTTGAGTTCAGTGCCGAGACCAGCGCGGCAACTGGGAAGTTTGTAGCTGTTGTATTGGCCAGAAAAGGTAACGAAACTTGAAAATAAATGCTGTGAAATTAGTGCAATTCTTGAAAAGAAAAATGTATTTTTGCTGATTACTTGAAAAAAAAATGCTGTGAAGTTAGTGCAAAATTTTGGTAAAATAGATGATTTTTATAGTGTATTAGGATTGCTTGGAAAATAAATAAAAAATCCACAGTCGAGGAAACCCTAGACCCGCCCCTTGTTTTTCAGCATACCAAAAATTGCAGTAAACAGGAAGTAGAAAAACTTGTTAGAGAGTATTAATAACAACTTGAGTTGCTGGTCTGAAATTCTGACTCACCATGATTTAAGTTGATGTTATTTTTGTTTTCCAGTTCACAGTGGCTGCGTTTTGTGTTTTAGGCAGCAAAGGAGTGCCTGGAAAGAATACCAAGATACTGAATGGACTGCCTCTGGTCGCCTGGAGTATTCTGGCAGCCAGGAAGGCCTCCTGCTTCGACGAAATCTGGGTGTCCACCGACTGCGACCACATTGGCGCCATTGCTGAGTCATTCGGGGCCATGTGAGTAGCATGTCTCTGTTTTTCACATTCGGAGAATTGCAAAAAGTTGGAACAAACAGAATTTATTTTAAAATCAAATCACTCATTTGATTTTGTACGCAAAATCTACCTTTTTAGACATAAACTGAGTCGCATGGCCACATTAAAAAAGTATAATTTTTTGCCAGCTGAATTTATTTTTCAGACTTGTTGAAGTATTTGCTCAAACTCGAAGATGGCCAATTGCTCTCTTTAATTAATTATCCGTTCCATATTGTTTTTCATATTTAAAACGACGTGACTTTTGACCAGCACCGCAGACAATCGCTGACAAGTCGTTGGCTTCTCTGGTTGACCTCCATAAACCGAAAATGCTTATCTTACATTTCCCCAAACCGAAAATGCTTATCATACAAATGCCTACATCAAATGTATGGAAAAATCCTAATCATACAATTTTCATACAATTTCAAAAAACCATTGAAAAAAGATTCAATCTAGTTTCTCCGGCTATTTGAACCAAATAAAACAGTCGGTGATGAAAAATAACTACGTTTATTTTTTTTGGAAAAAAATGGTTATCATATAAATTCCATATATGAAAATTGTGTGATAACCATTTTTTCATGAAAGGCAAGTTTTTCAGAAACTTGTTAAAACTTATTTTTAATCAAATTTAAAGTAATTAGGAGTGCTTATGCTCAATTTAAAGCACCTTGCTCATCAAAAATAAAAATTTAGTTTGAAGCTAAAAAAATGGTTATCATACAATTTCCATATATGAAAATTGTAATGATAACCATTTTTTCATAAAGGCAAGATTTTCAGAAACATGTTAAAACTTGTTTTTAATCAAATTTAAAGTATTTAAGAGTGCTTATGCTCTATTTAAAGCACCTTGCTCATCAAAAATAAAAATTTAGTTTGAAGCTAAAAAAATGGTTATCATACAATTTCCATATATGAAAATTGTGTGATAACCTTTTTTCATATATGGAAATTGTAGGATAAGCATTTTTGCTCAACCCGGGTTCTCAAATAAACTAACTAAAATCTCAAGCTTCCGCTAAAACCACAATTAGTTTTTCGATTTATAACCAAACCCTTTTTTTTGTTTCTGTGCCACTAGCAACCAGATTGAATACGTACAGATGTAAACTTTTTAAAATATCAGTACTGCGTTAGACAATACTGCTGGTTGCGAAAAAGCATCTTAACTTTTAAAGAAATTGCGTGGCAAATAGACAAACCCCTCTCCGACTTAATATCAGCTGCCATAATTTAGGTATTTCCGGCGTGACCCCATGAGTGCCCTGGATCGTAGTTCCAGCAAGGACGCCCTACTGGACTTTGTGGGCAATCACCCGGACGTGTGGGCCGCAGCCTACATCCAGTGCACTTTCCCCACCCAGAACCCGGATCTTCTTTCCAAGGCGGTGTCCATGATTCGAGCCGATGAGTTCGATTGTGTCTTTTCTGTGGGAAGAAGTCACAAGTTCAGGTAATTTGTTGTTGTGTCACTTTAGAGCAGGGTTTCCATTATTATAATGAAATCAATTAAGTGCTTTAAATTTATTTGAATAAAAAAATTTAAAAAAAAACTACCTTAGTTTAAGAAATATTGGGAGTAAATTTAGTTCGTAATGATCTTAAAGGGGAATTTACGAACTGGTTGAAGTGCTTGGAATGGTTGCTGCTTGCAAAATTTGGTTGGTTCTTGATTTTATGGTTCTGAGAATCGGAACTAATAATAACATTAAACTGTTTTGGAAACAAGTTATTCAAGATTTTATTTCCAACGTCCTAGGTAATCGATTGAGCTATAGCAATTAAAAACCCTTTGCTCCTGATTCTGATTCATTTTAAAAAACTCTCTCAACGTTTTAAAAAATTTTGGACAATTTATCCCAATAATGAACAGAGCCAAAATACGAGCTGCTAACTCTTTCGGTACATCGCTGCTCTCGGAACATTCTGTACATTTGCCTGTACCCAATTTTCTTGTTTCTCATTGTTTTTTGATTGACTAGAATTAAACTGTTGAGTTGTTTTATTTAATTCAGATGGACTCCCATTACAGCTGAGAATAAGTACACTCGGCCTTTGAACTTTGACCCCTCCAAGCGGCCCAGAAGACAGGACTGGCAAGGCGAAATCATCGAGAATGGTGAGTTCAATGGATAAAAAACTGGGTGCAGTAGATTTAATATATTTTTGACAGCTAAGACTTAAGGTTAGAGGAGATAACTTCTTCTATTTCTGATGGCAGATACTTATTATTTGTCAGACTGAAATAGAAAGATTACTTTGGCTTTTTTAATCACCTCAACGAAGGATAACTTCAAAAAAGTGATGTTCATCTATTGAGAAAACAATTCGAAACATTCGGTTTTTTCTTCAGTCGCGGTAAGAAAAGCATATCGAATAAGGATTTTAGTTGAAAAAAGACAAGAAAAAAACGAAAAAAAAAGATGACAAAGATAGCAAATCAAAACCTTCGAATTTAAAAAATTTCCTTCTATTATATCTATTAAAAGCCTTCTTGCTTGATTTACTCGCTCGTAATTAGACTAAAACTCAAAAATTTTTATACCGCTATTTTTGACAAAAAACGATTAAAATGATTTAAACCACCATGACGACCCTGGTTTGACACAATTTTGAGAAACACGCTATTTTTTGAAACTTTTGCACTCTTTTCGGAAAGTTTTGACCAAAAAACTGCGCGCATTCTGCTCAAAACTTGTGTATATTGGCGCAAAGGTGCCTTTGAAAGTTTTCAGAGTCAGTGGGCCGAACATGGATATTATAAAGCATTATCAAAGAATCGGATCCCTAGAAAATAAAGCGTCCGCCAAACTCACACCCAAACCTACACCGCTTAGGATTCAAAAAATGTATACAACCAAAATTTTGGGCGTTCAGATATAAAAAAAAACTGCTCAACTACTCTGTAACCAAATTTTTGTCTAATATTTTCGAACAAAAATTACTCATAGTTCATATTTTTGGCACGAAATTTTTCTAAAAAGCGTCAAAAAAATTGAAAGAAGCAAGGTATGTTATGCTCCTAATCCATGTTATCAAACGTACAGAGATCTTGAAGGCTAATGGAAAACAAAATAGAGCCCAGCTGTTGATGATCATTAGCTTCCAGAATTTATTTTTGGTGTGTTCTCTGCACTATATTCCATTTTTGTTCCGACTTTAGATACAAAAGTAACGGAATATTTGTGCTCGGGGTCGTTTTTTTTTCTTCAGACAAATTTCGACTTTTTAACTAGCCATTTTTGACGGAATTTTTTTATATCATTCGAAAGCCATTGTTGTCCTGAGCTTAAATTTGAAGGATATTTTACCTGCGATCATATTGCGTAAAGTTATGAGGGTTTAAAGATTGCCATTTTGGCCATTTTGACCAATTTGGGACAATTAACGCGCGATATAATTCGAGCTAATAACTTGTAAGCGGAGATTTAATCCGTCTTATAAATCGTTCCATATTGGTTGAAAGAAGCTTATTTGCCATAAATGATTTGTTACAAGGAGTGAAATCTATTCTTCTGTGGTTTATATGGCGTGTGGGGGATGATTTTCATAGTAAAAACTTCAATTTTTGTGATTTTTTTTTTTTTTTTTCATTTTTTTAATTACATTTAATTTGTTAATGATATTCATGTTTTTACTGCTCCATAAACCTTAAAAGGCAGGTGGAACATTCAAGACTTCGCTATGATTCGAGCAGTTTTGTTATCTACTTTACACTCTAAAATAATGCACGCAAGATCGCTCGTGAATCACGGCAAAGCCATGAACATTGACCGAGTGCTATTTGTTCTCTTACGGTTTTTGTTGCAGAAAATTTTTCTAATAAAATTAAACTTTTGAACAATATTCATTAAATATAAGTGTTAATACCTATCAGGCATAATTTAAACATGTAGCCAAATGCAAAGCAGTTTTGTTTAAAAGATAATAATTACTATGCTTTATATATTTATAAATATTACGCTTTCAGTATTAAAGAAGAAATCTTCAAAATTTTATGCAAGCAGTTTGCGTAGATTCCAAGCGCATTTAATTTAATGCGTAGCTCACTTGATTGGAAACACGCAGACTCAAGTTCGCGACCTACAGTCTTTAATTTGCTTTCAAAAATAGTCTACAAAACAGCTTATAGCACACATATTCCTCACTTTCTTCGAAAACAAGCACGAAGCATTGCGCGAATTCATTCATTTTGATTATTTTTTAAAATTCTTTCAAAAATTCTGATTTTTTTAAATATTCTTTAAGAAAATTAAAGATTCAAAACTATTCAAAAAATGCAAAAAAGAGCTACGCTGCGCTCATTTTACATTTGTAATTTAGTACCTTTTTAAAAAAAAAAAAACAATCAAATTCATGAAAATTTTGAAAATTTGTGTGAAAAAAGATTTTTGTGATTTTTTTAAACATTTTTGGAACATCTTTCATATTATCGGACCATTGATGTTCTTCGGGCTTTTCAAGAGTCTTTGCCACGCACTTGGCAGAGTAGCCAAGATTTTCTCCACAAAACTTTTTAAAAAAATATATGATGTGTCTGTTCATTTGTGTTTTTTTTTGTGTTTGCCAGGTGCATTCTACATGTTCCGAGTGGAGGAGTTGTTGTGCAGTGGGGACTACCAGAGCAACAGAGTGACCTATCTGGAGGACTTTGGGGTGGGTCAGGGGGAGACAGTGGACATCGACACCCCGGAGGACTTCGTCCGGGCTGAACTGCTGGTCAGTAAAATGCTAGGCAGACAATAAGGCGTCAATTGGATTTGAACTTAGCCGAATAATCAAAAGTACCCAAATAGTAATAGAGATATAGATTCTCACATAATCGAGAAGAATAAGAGATTCATTGAAATTGCCAATTTATTCGAAAACACTGAATAGCCTTTCGACCAATTGTCGATTAATCTAATTCTTAGAGCCTTAGCAACGGCCGATTGTTGTTATCAACGAAATTCTATCATACAAAAATGATAGACCGGAAAAAGTCCTTTTTGAAAATGGATATTCTATATGTCACAAGGATCGAATGGCAGAGAAGCAAGGAGCCAATCAGCCAATCAACTGATGGCCATCTGAAAAAAGGGAGATTTATGGCCATCTGAAAAAAGGGAGCCTGAATTTCGGCCTGAAGCTGGACGCTGAAAAGGGACACTTTAGTCTTAATTTTTAACAATTTAAAAGATTGTTATTGGCTAAAACTTTTCTGCCATTTGCTCCTTTTGTTAAAAAACCAAACTTTCTCACCAGAAGCGGATTTAGGGGAGGAGATATGGGTGTAGAACCTTCAAAAAAATGCCCAAAAACGGGCCCAATTTTTTCCTGGCCATGACAGCAAATTTATGAAAGATCCTAGTGTTTTCATTTTTACTAGTTGGACTTATTGGGATCTTTATGATCGGATATAGGGAGAGAAGGATACTTCTTTCTACCAAGAAGTTGGCACCTTTGCCATCCAAAGGGGTTTTTGTAGTGGTACTTTGACTCTCAAAATTTTCGCAGAACAGCCAAAAAAAATTTCGTGTCTTTTAGGCCAATATATACTAATTTTTGAATGAAATTTTTTCAAAAAATAGTCATAAAAAGCACTTTTGGCCCATTGAGCTTGCGTTGGAGGTTTGGGTTTTTTTGAGTCTTATTTGCCCGACCTAAAAAGTGCACATGAAAAAACTCACCTCCCTCTCCAGCTATTTAACAATTTGCGCAAAAAGTCGGTAGTGGAAGTACTCAATTAACTAAGAAAACCTCGATCTGTTTTTAAACGCTGTCATCTTCTGTTCAGGTGAAGAAGCACTGTGAGACTTACAATCTAGACGACCTCATCGCCCCGGCCACTGGAGAGAAATACCGACAGATGATGATGATGGAAGCAGCCAGGACTGCAGCTGCTCAAAAAGTGGGAGACACTCCCCAGTGATCACGAGAAAGCAACTGAAAACAAATATATAAAAAGAAGAAACGAAAACAAAAATGGAAGCGAACTCTTACATTTTGGAATTATTGAAAACATTTTCAATTCAACTCTCACCGGATCAAAATCATCTAAATTATCATTTTGCAGATTTCACAGTTATTTTATCATAATTCATATTTGATTTGCATGTGTATGCAAAGACGTGTGACGCCACAAATGTGTTTTCATTAAAAAATATCCAACTTCATATCAAACCAAATTTTGTGTGTTTAAATGTATAATTGATTAATTAAAAAACCTTTTTAATATAATACAACGTCAGTTTAACTCAGAAATTCTCATAATTTTTTAAACTTAGATAATTTAGCCTGTTTAATATCAAGAAAGGAAAAAAATTGAATATTAAAATTTACAAAAGAATGCGTTCACTGCTAATTTAGCATCTAATTTACTAGTTCAAATGTCTCCAACGTTTTCTGGAAAAATTTTGAAACTGTACCGACGTTTTTTAGGGTCGACCCAGAGACTGTATAAATTTTTTTTTCCAAATTTCTGTACACAATTTTTTGAAAGCTTTTGACCAAAAAAATGGGTTTTTTGACGAGTACTCCCACCTCATATTTCAAAAATATATGGGCGCCAAAAGAGTTTTTAGAAATGATTTGAAGTTGATCGACCAAAAATGGATGTCGTCAAAATGCAAAAAGAAAGACCTATTGGTAAAGTCTCGCTTCACGCGTTCATCCGCCCACCTTACTGATTCGAGTCTTTTTTCAAAATTTATCTTCCAATTTTGATTTTTTTTCAAAACTGATATTCCACGTTCTACCTAAAAGGATGTAATTTGCTAAAGACAACGTAATAAATAGACTAAAAAGCATGTCTCACCTCAGCCTGGAACAATTTCTGAGCCTTATTATGTTGCCGCGCATGCGTTATAGAACTTTCTGATCCGCTCGTTTATTGTACCAAACTGGCCAAATTGGCTATTTTTATGTTCTTCAGAAAAAAAACTGATCACAAATTACATCTTTTCCAATTTTTGCTCAGGGCATCAAAACTTTTCAGATGGAATAAAAAAATTGCAGGTTAAAACGTAAAAAAATATCTGGAGAAATTGAAACAATCCCAAGCTCAAATATTTTGTCATTACCTTTGAAAATCTAAGTGTCTAAGAGATCGTTTTTTGAACGTTTGAGTGTTTTCTCTTCAGAAAAAAATTTGAATGTTCTTTTTGCCTTATGGTCAGTCTTAGTTGAAAGCTAAGCAATTATCTCGGGTCTGTTTTCGACTTAATGTCAGTCTTAGTTGAAAGCTAAGCAATTATTTCGGGTCTGTTTTAGAAAAATTTAAGTGGAGAAACCAGCAAATTTTAAGAACTCGACTTTTAGTGGAAATCCAAACATAATAGAACAAATTATGTCAAGATCATATCAGCAAGAATTTAAAACCCTAGAAGCATTTTGAAATATTCTTGTAAGAATTGTATTTCGAGTTGCAGTTCAAAAGAAATCAAAGTCATGTAACTTCCTTATATGTTTCTACAATCTACAAACTATGAAAGATATTTAAAGTGAACCCATAATTTTATCATTCGAATAAACATCTGAAAAGACTATTTTGGCTCTTTTCCACATTGTTCAATTAAAAAATAATAATTAGCACTAAAAATATTATTATTTTCTTGAGAAACTCATGATTCAAACATTTCGGAACTTTACATTTTCTAGCATCTATGATAGATTTCATAATAGACGAACAAAAAATAACATAATAGACTAATTTTCTCATCTCAAAGTACATTTTCCCCTGAAAATCTCATCAGAATTCATTTTTAATTTAGAGTCTTTCATCAAGATTTGTAGTCTAATTAAAAATCTTACACCAAAATTTTTTCGAGTGATGGATTTTTACAGGAACTCTACTGTTCCTTAAACAATTTTTGACAATGTTACTTAAAATATGAATGCTACTAAGACCCGAGAACGCTATTTACTTGTTCTGAAATTTTACTATCAGCATTTTAATTTAGTTTTCGATTTCCATTTTATCTCTTGAAGCTGATTCTATGCCAAGTTTTGCCATTGGTACTTTTTGAGCACACAAATTAGCAGTAATTAAAAAGCAATCTATTCAACCAATCGGAGGTGCATTATCACGTAATAAATCATTATCTGAGTTTGCCATGGCACCCTTCTTCAGGAAACACGTTGTTTAATTTGATAAAAGTGCACTAAAATAATTTTCCTTTTTGCGATAAATTATTACTACACTACCAAACTACCATACTTCACATTAAAAAAGATAATTGACCTGCAACACTTTTTGACGAATGTCCTGAGGTTGAAAAATGTCGTTTTTCTCAATGCTCTGTAAAAAATTATCTGCGATTTGAAGCTATCATGTATGAAGTTATAATGCATACTGCTGACAGCGCAACGCGAATTGCTTATGCTAGGCGAGAAACGAGTTAGTCCGACATCAAAATTGCTCCAAATTGATATGAGGCGAGCTGTATCGTCATAATATATCTCTTGCGACTCTCGTTTTAACAAACTATATTAGGTTACGTTAAGTTGGCTGTTGGGGAAAAAACTGAAAATTTCAAAGTTTTTAGCTTATCAATCTGGCTTTTAGTAACCAATCAATTCTGGCAAATAAGCTTCCTCAACAATTTTGAACAATTTCTGAGAAGGATTAAATCTCCGCTTACAGGTTAATAGCGCGAAATATATCGCACGTTAATTGTGCCAAATTGTCCAAAATGGCAATCTCTAAGCCCCCATAACTTCACCAAAAATGATCGCAGGTGAAATAGTATTTCAAATTTAAGCTCAGCGCAACAGTAGCGTTTGAATGATATGAATAAATTCCGTCAAAAAAGTCGGAAATTATCTGAAGAAAAAAACCCACTCCGAGTTCCAATATTCCGTTACTTTCGTTACGAAAGTCGAATAAAAAAAACTTAAGCAATTTTGGAGCACATGGAATAACTTGCGCAAGCTTCGAATAATTAAATTAGTGGTTTGAATAAATTACTGAAAACAAAACAGACGATTGAACCAATTTTTCAGCTGGATTCGAGAGGCAAAAAAGAACCAAAAATATGGAACAAAAGAGGAATAATAAACAAGGCAACTATGGGGAAGAAGTATGCAAGAAGTCAACACTTTCATCATAACAAAGAATGCTTTTGCTTTCACTTGTTATTAGCCGACCCAGTTAATTTAAAAAAATTAAGATCACTGATATTTGAAGATGTGTCTGTTGTTAATTGCTGCCAGTATTTCTCGATCAGCATTTTCAAAACCAATGGCTGCACCGAAGTATTGGTTAACAGTCGATAAGTTTTTTTTTTGAGAATTTGTTGTGCAAAAAGCAATTATTTCTCCGTTCTCAGCTTTGACAGTATACTCTCGGAGACTAAAAAAAATAGTATTTCTCTCCTGTAGATTTACTGATTATTCGCGGTTGAATGAATTTTGATTTATCTCTCGAAGTCTGAAAAAAACTCCAATATTTCGATTAATTTGAACCAATATCGTGTTAAGGACCGTAACATATCCTAATATTGAATTCTCTTCTCTAGCCAGCCGTAGTTTTTCCTGTGGAGAGTGCTCATGCATTGATGTTTGTTGGTAATTCGTAGCTGCCTAATTTTGATTTGTGTTTGTGGGAAAACAATTATAGGAAACTATGGAAATAAACCTTAAAGATTAATAGATTGTCACATCATTATTGTGGCAACGAACTCTTCATAGTTTTGTGTCAAGTTCGTGCCGACCAGGCGGCCACCTATTTTCAGGAAGTTTTTGACCTAAACACTGGGATTTTTGACAAATAGTTGCAACTTATATTTCAAGAAGTCTTTTTTAGTCTTTTTCAACATTTAACTTCTAATTTTTTTGGAAAATTGATACTCCACATGCTACATAAAATGATGTATTTTGCTTATAACAACGTAATAAATAGACTAAAAGGCCTGCCTCAAATAATTATGGAACAATTTTTAAGCCGGATTATGTTGCCCTGCATGCGTTATAGAACTTTTTGATCCGCTCGTTTTTGATAACAATTTGGTCAAATTGGCTACTTTTACATTCTTATGATTTCACAAATAATTGATCACAAAGTACATTTTTTTGAATTTGTGCTCAGGGCATCAATACTTTTCAAAGGGCATAAGAAATTTGCAGGTTAGAACACCAAAACTTGTCTGGAGAAATTCAACAGTCCCGAGCACAATTATTTTGCCACTACCCTTGAAAATCGAAGTGTCTAAGACATCGTTTTTTAAATACAAGATTAAATTAAAAACGTTTGATTGTTTTCTATTTAAAAAATTTCAGTGTTCATCTGCCTAATTTTCAGTTTACTTGAAAGCTAAGCAATTTTTTTGGGTCTGTTTTAGACTTCTGAAAGTTTTAACTAGAGAAACCAGCAAAGTTTAAGAACTCGACTTTTAGTGGAAGTCGAAACATAAAATGAAAAATTATCTCAACATCATATTAGCAAAAATTTAAAACCTTAGAAGGTTTTTGTATTAATTTAAACAGAATTGTGTTTCGAGCTGCAGTTCAGAAGAAATCAAAGTCTTCTCCTTTCCTTTTATATTTCTACAATCTACAGGCCATGTAAAATTTTTATAGTGAACCTATAATTGAATAATTCGAACAAGCATCTGAAAAGAATGTTTTGTCTTTTTCCCAATTATTCAATTAAAAAACAATTAACTAGCATGATTTCTAGTATGACAAAATAATTTACTAAAAATGATTTCTTTCTTGAGAAACTCATGATTCAAATTTGTGGAAATTTACAGTTTCTGGCATCCATTATAGACTTCATAAAAGACTAACATAAGCTATAAAGTACTCATATACGAAAATTAGTAACCTGTTCCATACTTTTTTTTCTCATCTCAAATTACATTTTCTCCAGAAAATATCATCAGACTTTGTCTTAAATTAAGAATCTTGCTTCAAGACTTGTAACCTAATTAAAAATCTTACACCACAATTTTTTCCAAGTAATGGATTTTTACAGGAACTATATTGTTCCTTAAACAGTTTCTGACAAGGAATATAAATGCATGGAGTAAAATCTTTATTCAGACCGAATTCGGCTTCATGACTTTCTCATTTGCGATAAACTATTACTATACTACCTTACTACCATACTTCGCATTAAAAAAGAAAATTGACCAACATTTTTTGACGAATTTTTTAAGGTTGGAAAATGTAATTTTTTATAATGCTCTGTAAAAACTTATCTGCGATTTGAAGCT